AGCGCCTGGGAGACCCCTGGGGAGAGGGTGGGCGCACCCTTCAGACAGGAACCTCCTCTGCCAATTGTGCCTCTAAAAGCGCGGGCTTTTCCTCCCCTGGCCGCCCTCATCTCTCCTCTCCTCCAGTGCAGACCAGGGCACACTGCTGCTTGTGGCTATTTTCCCCAGGAGACCTAGGGTCGGACACAACTTCTAACTCAGTAGTCACATGTCCCTGATCCCAGAACCGGCCTGCCGCCGCGTCCACGGGCGTGGCTCACCTGCTCCGGCCTCGGTGGCTGGAACCCTGGAGGCGGTGCGGGCCGCTCTCCTCCGCAATATGCCCGGGTTTGGAGGAGCTCAGCCTGGGTGCACATGAGAGGCACCTGGGGCGGCCTGGGAGGGGCAGGACGAGGGAAAAACAGCCGTTCTGTAATACTTTCAACAATAAAGTTAAGAAGAAAAAATGCACCTGAGAGCCCAAGTACCCGCCAGGCCGCCCGCCCCCAAGCCCAGGCCCTAATGGGTTCCTGCAGGGAGCGGCAGCTGTGCGCTCTGGAGACATCCCAGCTGATGCCCATGTGCAGGCGAGGAAAACCCTGGCTCTGGCTCCCCAGGTGCCAGGAAGCAAGCCCCGCATTCTTGTATATATTTCGCTGGGCAGATAGTTGGACTTTGTGTTTTTCCCTCTTTTTCCAGACCACGCAGCCCCCCAGACTGCAGCCCTTCAGCTTGGGCTGTGAGAGAACACACTTTCCCTTTCTTCTTTGTGTGTGCACACACAGGCAGGCCTGTAAGAAGGGGCCAGGCCACATACATTGTTCTGCATGGCGCTTCCATCACTTGACTTCCTTTTGCGACTGTCAGACTTAAAGACTCACTCCAGGACCACGTAATATTGCATTACTAAGCATATAGCACAAAGGACTTAACCATATTTTCCTATTGATGTCATTTGGTGTGTTTTTTCCCCCTAATATTTTTGCTATTGCTAATTATGCTGTAGTGAACATTCATGTGGGTGTAAATTCCTCAGAAGTTGTGCAAATATTTCCAAAATGCAATCACCAAGGTTAAAGGATATGTATATTGAAATTTTTTTTACAGTATTGCAAAAATGCTCTCCCTTTAAATGGCACATCAATTTACTCTCCCACCAACAGTTTGTTAAAGCATCTTCTTTCCCATACTCTTACTAACATTCTTTTTTAAAAATATATATCTTATTGATTGTTTACAGAGAGGAAGGGAGAGCGATAGAGAATTAGAAACACTGATGAGAGAGAAACATCCATCAGCTGCCTCCTGCACACCTCCTACTAGGGATGTGCCCGCAACCAAAGTATAATACATGTCCTTGACCGGAATCTAACCTGGGACCTTTGGGTCCGCAGGCCAACACTCTATCCACTGAGCCAAACTGGTTAGGGCTTACCAACATTCTTATAGTCAATCTTTTTACTATATGGCATATAGTGGTCGGCAAACTCATTAGTCAACAGAGCCAAATATCAACAGTACAATGATTGAAATTTATTTTGAGAGACAAATTTTTTAAACTTAAAATTCTTCTAACGCCACTTCTTCAAAATAGACTTGCCCAGGCCGTGGTATTTTGTGAAAGAGCCACATTCAAGGGGACAGAGAGCTGCATGTGGCTTGTGAGCCGCAGTTTGCCGACCACAGCTATATGCTAATCTGCTAGGCAAAACAATATATATATATATATATATATATATATATATATATATATATATATGTAGCGTTGCATTTTTTTCAGCTTGCATTTCTCTAATTTCTAACGAAGTTAAACATCTTTTTGTTAATACTCTGTTTCTTCTGCGAATGGCTGGTAGATTGTTGGTGACTATCTGGAAGATGCAATGTCATCCCCCATATTTCTCTCCCTCTTTTTCCCTATTATAATAGGTCTGTAATATTACCCCATTGAGTATTGTCTTATTCAAAACCATGGAGAAAAGCGGAGTTTGCATAATTCAAAACTTGAGAAAAGCACAGTGCCATTTAGATTAAGATGTTAAGTGTTTTTTAGAGTGAGGAAACCTTTCTTAAAAGTCCCTGGCAGACTACCCCTGACATTATGCTGGCTCAAATGGAACCATCGCAGGCCCTCTGCTGGGAAGAGTCAGTGGCAGGACCATGGAAGTCCTCTTATTGACCTGGTCTGCTCTGGGCTCAGAGAGAGACCTGGCTGCCTCTGCAGCACATGGCTGCCAACACCTGAGCAAATCTGAGGACGTAGGAGGGCCGTGGCTATTTCCACTCAATAGTGAGAGATGATCAACCATGTGTACCATTGCCACATGCATTTTTAAGGCGTTATAAGATATATCTTCAAGATCCAATTTAAATTAATATGTAAATCATCCAATTAAACATAAAAATATCAACTTTGAAGTTTGCAACCTGGGAACTTAGCATTACAAAGGAAGGGCAGTACTATATCTTGTTATTTTTAAAAATGTTTTTATTGATTTTAGAAAGAGAGGAAAGGAAAGGGAGAGAGAGAGAAAGAGAAAGAGAGGGAAACATTGATGGGTTGCTGCCAACATGCACCCTGATTGGGGATCGAAGCCACAACCTGGGCATGTACCCTGAGCAGGAATGGGACCGGTGACCTTTTGGTGCACAGGACAACACCCAACCAACTGAGCTACATCGGCCAGGGCTATCCGATCATTTTAAAGTTAGGAGTATCAAGGTATGAGTAAATAACTCAGCTTTAAAAGGAAAAAGCTGTGAAGAATGAGCATTCATAATCCATTCCCAAACTCAAGAGAGATCACAACTGACAGTTAGGGCCTGCCCCATCAGACACTCAAAGCACCGTGACAGGAGGAAGGTGACCAGCCTTGGCGGTCTCACAGGGCCCTGGCTTTCCTCCTCGGCTCAGACGCAGAGCAGAGGAGGAGAAACCACCTGCTGTCAGTCCCCCTCCTCCATTTGGATCCCCAAGACAGAGGGTCTCTGGAGTGGGGGTGTAGACAGAAGGGGGAAAGGAACCCGCTTGAGGACATTTTTCAAGCTGGCACCCTGAACAAAATTCTGAGCATAACACATTGAGAACATTATTTCTAAGAACTTGGAGGTGTAGCCGAAACTGGTTTGGCTCAGTGAATAGAGCATCAGCCTGCAGACTGAAAGGTCCCAGGTTCGATTCTGGTGAAGGGTATGTACCTTGGTTGCGGGCACATCCTCAGGGGGGAGGTGTGTGCAGGAGGCAGCTGATCGATGATTCTCTCTCATCGATGTTTCTAACTCTCTATTCCTCTCTTCCTCTCTGTAAAATTCAATAAAATATATTTTAAAAAATAATTTAAAAAAGAACTTGGAGGTGTAGCTATATGCCTGCTTTGCCTACTTCCTGAGATTCCGGCATAATATGGTTATAGCAGTGTGGGTGTGGGGTGTGAGTGGGAAACTCCCTGACGCACTCGTGTTCACCCCTCCTTTACTTCCCCCCCAAACACACACACAGATACCTATATTCCAGGTCACCTCCCCGGGCCTCACCCCAGGTAACTGACTCCTGGGGCTCCAGCCTGGTTTGCCTGCTACACAGACTTACCCTGTTTCCCTGAAAATAAGACAGTGTCTTATATTAATTTTTTGTTCCCAAAGATGTGCTAGATCTTATTTTCAGGGGATCTCTTATTTTTCCATGCGCTAGGTCTTATTTTCGGAGGATGTCTTATTTTCGGGGAAACACGGGTAGTTGCTGACCAAAGCTCTAGTAGAAGCAAGTATGCAAGAATGTTCTTCATTCCAGAAAGTCAGTCCTAATTCGTCCACATGCTTGGGAAATGTGTCAAAATCATCCTGGAGCTGAAGGAGCCAAGAAAGAACGGCTGTAAATTAACCCACTCGCACCCTTCCCAGTTCGGGCTCGCCTCCTAGGTGTTTCCCTCCTAGCTCGTCATGGCGGGCAGATGGAGCCCTGTCACACCTGGAATCTGTCCTTGTCATCATGAGGCAGCGTGGAGGACCAGGACAGAGACCTGAGAAGGAGGGATGGCTTCAGTTTGGTACATCAGGTCACAAAGACCTGGGTGTTTTTTAAGGAGGTCAACATGAACTTTCCTGGAACTCCAGCTCCCCCATATGCCCTCACCCTCATACCTTTATATTTGGGTGTTGGGTAGGAGGCTCATCGGGTGACCTGGGTGGCAGGCCGTGACCCAGACACAACCCTAGGAGGGCCATCTTGGCTCCCCAGCGCTGCCCCCTCTGCTCCCACCTGCCCAGGAGCTTCCCCTCCTAAGGCGTGAACAATAAGGACAGTAGGTAGCATGGGATTGTTGTGAAGATCAAGGTCTCGGAGATAGAGTGCCGAAGGCCTTAGCACAAGGCCTGGAACACGCAGAGCACCCATCAGTAGTAGCAATCACTAGAATCTGTTTAACAGTAGTCGGCAAACTCATTAGTCAACAGAGCCAAATATCAATAGTACAACGATTGAAGTTTCCTTTGAGAGCCAATTTTTTAAACTTAAACATCTAATGCCGCTTCTTCAGAATAGACTCGCCCAAGCCGTGGTATTTGTGAAAGAGCCACACTCAAGGAGCCAAAGACCCGCATGTGGCTCAAGAGCTGCAGTTTGCCGACCACAGCCTTAGCACAATGCCTAGAACACGCTGAGCACCCATAAATAGTAGCAATCACTAGAATCCGTTTAGTACGTGATGCAGACTTAGCCAAATTTGCATGATAGCATACATTTTTAATAGGATACAGCTAGATTTACATAGAGAATATTCTAATTCATTGCCTTACTCTTCAAACTGGCCCCTTCCCTATTAACTTCAGGTTTTTGTTATACCGGCAGCCTAACGGGGCTCCCATTCTCTCCCCACCTCCCTGCATGCTAGCAGTCAGCACAGAGACATCCCCTGTGCTGGCCCCGGGATCCCGTGTCTCCCCTCCCTTCGGGCTGTTGGGAAAGTGGTGGCACGTGTCCCGCTCCTGAGTCTGCCTCCTCGGACGGCCTGTCTCCCCCGCAGGCGGTGAAGCGGTTTCTGAAGCAGGAGTGCAAGTGCCACGGCGTGAGCGGCTCCTGCACGCTGCGCACCTGCTGGCTGGCCATGGCCGACTTCCGGAGGACGGGCGACTACCTGTGGAAGAAGTACAACGGCGCCATCCAGGTGGTCATGCACCAGGACGGCACCGGCTTCACCGTGGCCAACAAGAGGTTCAAGAAGCCGACGAAGAACGACCTCGTGTACTTTGAGAATTCTCCAGACTACTGTATCAGGGACCGAGACGCAGGTATGTTTAAAGCGCTTCACTCACTGCACCAATTCTCCAGCGGTCAGCACGCCAGGCAAGGCAGCTCAGTGTCTTCAGCTCCCCAGTCCCATGGGTGCAGCTGCTGCCTCTAGGCGGGAAGCTCATGTTCTTTCTTTCTTTCTTTTTAAAAAAATTTTTTCTAGTTTCTTTTTCTTTTTTTTAATTTTTTTTATTGATTAAGGTATCACTTATTTGTCCTCAACCCCCATTCCAATCCCCCACCCCTCCCCACTCATGCCTCCACTCCCCTATTGTCCTTGACCTCTGGTTAGGCTCATATGTGTGCACATAAGTCCTTTGGTTGATCTCTCCCTTTGATCCCCACCCTCCCTCTGAGGTCCAACAGTCAGACCCATGAATCCTTATCTCTGGGTCTGTTCTTGTTCATCAGTCTATGTTGTTCACCATTTCCCCTAGATGAGTGAGATCATGTCCTACTGGAAATATAAGAACCAAAAATGATGCCGAAGCCGGTTTGGCTCAGTGGTAGAGCATTGGTCTGCGGACTGAAAGGTCCCAGGTTCGATTCCGGTAAAGGGCATGTATTGTACATTGGCTGCGGGCACATCCCCAGTAGGGGATGTGCAAGAGGCAGCTGGTCAATGTTTCTCTCTCATTGACGTTTCTAGCTCTCTATCTCTCTCCCTTCCTCTCTATAAAAAATCAATAAAATATATTTTTTAAAAAAGAATCAAAAATGAAACAAGCAATAATCATTATGCTGAAAGGCATATGAATCAGTCTGTAGTGAGTTTCTTTCTGGGCCAACAGTTCTTTTGAGACCCAATTTCAATGTCAAACAGTGCCTTATGTGTACATATCAAAGCTCGTGTTCTTATCATTCATATTTAAAGTGCATAAAGAACTCTTCCTAAGATCTGGAGAAATGGGAACCCAATAAGAATGTTTGTGGCAAAAAGTCACCATACGGCCCTAGCCAGTTTGGCTCAGTGGATAGAGCGTCAGCCTGCAGACTGAAGGGTCCCAGGTTCGATTCTGGTCAGGGGCACATGCCCAGATTTCAGGCTTGATCCCCAGTGGGGGGCATGCAGGAGGCAGCCGATCAATGGTTCTCTCTCATCATGGATGATTCTCTGTCTCTCTCCCTCTTCCTTCCTCTCTGAAATCAATAAAATACACCTTTTTAAAAAAGTCACAATATGCAGATTAGGAAAATTCTTTCGCCTGGACAAAACTGGAGTTGGTGGGTGAACCCGCACTGTGTATAGCATCACAGCACCTTTCCTGTTCTGCAGCTGAGAGGAGCATAGCTTTGCCGTGTATATCCGCCTTTGCCGTGTATATCCCCCTTTGCAGTATATATTTCCCTTTGCAGTGTATATTTCCCTTTGCATAAGGTGACCAGACGTCTCACTTTTGGCAGGACAGTCCCAATTTTTAACAATTTGTCCCATGTCTCGCGTCCCAAGGCGTTTAAAAAAAAAAAAGTCCTGATTTTTGGAAAGAATTGGGACTTTTTTTAAAATGCTCAAGACATGGGACAAATTGTTAAAAATCGGGACTGTCCCGCCAAAAGCAGGATGTCTGGTCACCTTACCCCTTTGCCATGTATATTCCCCTTTGCAGTTTTGAAATCTGCCGTCCTTCACACTCCTCTGCGCTTTCTACTATGCTCAGACGTTGCCAAATTCTAGAGAAAGAATTCATCCCGCTGGCTTGGCAGCCGGGAAGCCACGGGTGAGGGCTGTGTACTGAAGCCACAGCTCCCCTTGCACCCAGCACCTTCCCTCTCTGAGCCCTCGGGAGCAGCTCTGTCAGCTCCGAACAGCTGTCCCCTGGTGTGTTTGGCAAGTGTGCTGTGCCCACCTCCGACCCCTCCTGCTCAGCTCTGAGCCCCAGGCTCAGCGCAGCCTTTGCAAAGAATCTGGTACAAGATAAGCATGAGTACAGTGAATAGGAGGTGATTGGGAGCCCATAGCCAACTTCGGCTCAAGCCAGCTTCTCAGACTTAGTAGAAAACAAGGGAACCCGTGATCAGGACAAACATCCTTGGACGTAAATTCCCAGTTTGTTTTTCATTCCAAAGCAATTGCAGAGGAACCAGTGAAGCGGTGCAGCCGGCCGCGGCTCCTAACCTTCGGCTGACCAAGGAGCACGATTACCAGAAAATGCCGCCAGGAGCCCAGGGCCTCTTTGTTGACCTGAGCGGCTGCAGTTCCTTCCTGGTTGATGAGCCAGCTCTGCAACACTGGGGCAGGTTGGGACATGCGGTCCCTGAGCGGAGCGGAGCGGAGCGCTTCGGGGCCTCTAGCAAGTCTTCCTTCCCGCTGGGCCACAGCTTGAACAGAATCCCCATGAAACCTGCGCTTCCATACAGATTGTTCCAGAGGTTTGGGTCCTTCTCTGCTGTGAAGCAGCTGCTTCATCTAGGGGTCCTGGGGCAGACCAAGGGGATAATGATATCGGGATCGTTTTAGGAGCTACCCATGGACCCCTGTGTGCCAGGTACTGGACTAAGATCATTGCACACGTGGTTTTAGTTCATCTTTTGAGCCGCCCTCTGACATCAGTGCATTGGAGCTGGTTTCCTGAAAGAAAAAAGGACGAAGAGGGTCAACCAAGAGCCAAATGCACAGCTTTGTTTTTGTTTTTGTTTGTTTTTTAAAATATTTTATTGATTTTTTTTTTTACAGAGAGGAAGGGAGAGGGATAGAGAGCTAGAAACATCGATGAGAGAGAAACATCGACCAGCTTATTCCTGCACACTCCCCACTGGGGTTGTGCCCGTAACCAAGGTACATGCCCTTGACCGGAATCTGAAACCTTTCAGTCCACAGATCAACGCTCTATCCACTGAGCCAAACCGGTTTTGGCAGCTATGTTTTAGTCAGATAAGCAGCCCTAGAGGGCATCGTCCCAATTGCACACGCGAGAAAAGTGAAGGACCAGCTCAAGACCTCATGGGTCTTGGAGGGGAGCGATGTCTGGCTGGCTGACTCCATGGCCTGTGCTCTTGACCCTGACACTGTAACTTGTCCTTACCTGTCTCCAAGGGCATGCACCTGGACAGGCCTCATTTCAAATGTAAGAGGATCTGCTTCCCTGAGACTTCGTTTCCATTTTGTTTTGTTTTGATTGAAGCAGTTTGCACAGCAAAGTAAACAGTTATGCTTTATGATCACTTAGCTGCCTCCTGGATATTCAATGACATAAAGACCTTGCTTTCTCTTCCTCACAAGGAGATTAGGCAACTTCAGGATACCGATATTCTTGCACATGTTGCTTTTTCTACTCCCTGTATGAGAACACAATTCTGTTTCTTGATCCTAAAATAACAAACACATCCGTGGCACCTGCCGTGTGTTAGGGCTTGGTCTTCATTCTCTCCTTGATTCTCATGGGAAGTCTATAAGGTGGGTATGTTATTATCCCATGTTATGAGAGAGGAGACTGAGGCTCTGACAGACAAGTTATGCATTTTTCCCAAGGACCCTCAGCTGGTAAGAGGCAGGCAGAGCAGCGATCCATTCTTTTAATCACGTTACTGTGCCTCCAGATGTGCCAGCCACACAGCACACTGCCGCAGTGTGACTTCCTGAGGGAAGCGATATAATTTATTCATTCTCTTCATTTACTTCTCTTCTCTCTAAGCTTAGCTGACTTGCAAATATGTGAACAAATGCTGTTGATTAATCAAGAACTACCCTTACTCTTTTTTTTTTAAGTAGTTCCAATGTATTATATCAGAATTCCAGTAACATTCCTAGGTTATTCATAAGTTACCTGAACAATATTTAATGCCCTTTTGAGCTGAACCTAAGAAAATGCCAGTCATCCATGCAAACCTTGCAATATTTCTTTGTAATTCTTTTTTTTTTTTTTAAGTATCTTTTATTGATTTCAAAGAGGAAGGGAGAGGAAGAGAGAGATGGAAACATAATGAGGGAATATCATTGATTGGCTGACTCCTGCACACCCTCTACTGGGGATTGAGCCTGCAACCCAGGCTTGTTTCCTTGACCAGAATCCAACCCAGGACCCTTCAGTCCGAAGGCCGATGCTCTTTCCATTGAGCCAAAGAGGCTAGGGCTGTAATTCTCCATGATTGCTTTGGTGATTCAGTGTTTGACATCATGCAAGCAAAAGTGCGGATCAATGGCAGATTCGTGTTTGGAGTCATGTACAAATAGCCACACAGACAGGATGCAGATTTACCATGAGAGAGCTTGCTTCAACCACACAGCTGCTAAGGGACTTGCACCTGTCTGTGTGGCCTGTGGCCTTCCAAAGGTGAGGCTTTCTCCTGGCCATAGTGTGCATCCGAGCAAGCCAGTCAACACAGTCATGGAAGTGTGTGGTTCAGGGTCATCCTGGAGTGGCTCCTAACTTCTCTTTGTGGACAGGGAGGTGTGCCAGAACCTGAGACCTGGGCAAGGGGGACCCCATCACCTCACTCACATTGGCATTCCGCCTCTGAGAGCTGCCCTCTCATCACGAAAGGAAGGTGTGGGGTCAGGGCTAACGTCCTCGCAGCATGCACGTGTCACAGAATGAGCACATCCCCAAAGGCCCCTTCCCTTCACTCGACTCTTACTATGCTAGGGACAGCCTGCTTTCTGGTAAAAGGAACTCCCAAGTAAGTCAGAAGTTTGCAGTAAACTTTAAATCAATAAATGTATATATAAACTTTAAAACATTTTTCTTTATTAAAATTGACATAGCCTTCCCCTAGAGCACATCACATACCACCCAGTCTGTTTGCTTGTGGCCATATTGTTTTGTTTTGCTCTTTGTAATATCAGGCACGTTTAATTTTCGATGTATCGGGCACCTTTTACTTGCCAGCACAGGGAACACAGTGGTAGTGAGCAGGCTGAAGATGGGCACATAATAGATACTTGGGACTGAATGTCTTGCCTTTTGTTGGATAGCACCTGTTTCCTGTTCAAATTGACTCACGACTTGAGGGGAGTGAGTCGGCTTCAATGTGGCTTGTGGAGTAGATCAAGTCTGCCGTC